ATGCTATGGCATTTCGGTCAGGTAAATTCGGAAATTCCAAGCCTGTTTAGTGACGATCTCATATCTTATTTCTCATTTTTCGGTTAGTTGTTCTGTGTTTCTTATTTATAAGAAAGAGAAATAAAACATTTTTGGTTAGAATTTCTGGTTTTGATATCTGAAATCTTTATCTTCTTTATAGAAACGAGGGGCCCAATTGGTCGTACTTGAAGGAAAACGACGCAAGGTATGGGAGACTTTATGGTCTGATTCTTGCTTAGATTTGCACCTCATGTCTTCTGGAGCTGCTCGTGCCATGGTTCATGCTTGGCTGCTTGGTATTCATTCTGTTGTATTTAATGGCCACCAGTTGCCAAAGTTATTAAGGTACAAGTTCATTCCCCCATGCGCTCTTTTATCGTAATTTTGTTATGCATATTATTAGATATCATTACCTTTTCAGTTTACACTAATTGTTCAATCTTTGGTAATTTAATTGGGTTAACTCATGTCTTCATGGTGTGTCGATTTCCTCTCCATTAAAATCGTGTCGGCTGCTTTCTTTTGCATGCCATTGTCCCTAATTCTTCCACCCCCAACCTATCTCATTTGAACTCCCTACGGATTTTGCCAGCCACTCTCCCTATTTAAATTCAATGACTTCAGAAGCCTCTCCTCAATCCCCTTCGTCCTGAGAACCAGAGCTAATCCTAATGATCTTCACCATTGACTAATTTTTTATTTATAGTACGAAATTACAAAAGACGAGGGAGGAGAGCCAAGCTGAAGTAATGAAAAACTCTTCCAACTTGCATGAAGAAAAGTAAGGCTATGTTTATTGCAAGGAGCATAAAATTTATACCAAAAAAGCTAAAAAGTAACATGGTCCAAGAAGCTTCTGAAGGGTTTTTTCCTTTTGCCTGTTGAAGACCTATTCTTCCTTTCTAGCCATAAAAGCTAATGAGAAGCCCTCACAAGTTGAAATCACAAAGAACCCTCTCTTTTTGAAAGGAAGACTTCAAGAATAAGGAGAGTAGATTGGTGGCACTGAGAGGGGAAGGACCATTTGCCATCCAAAGTAGTGCAGCAGATGAGACCACAGAAAACCAGCAAAGGAGCAAGTGAGCATCAGTTCGGCGACATGTAGCTATGTGAGGACTTTTTGCAACAACTAATTTCTTGTTTTCTTGAGGAAGGCCTTTGTACTGGTATATGATGTTAAGGATATGCTAAAGACTTAAAGATGGATCTTTTACTCTTCGGAAGGCTAGTGATGATTGAACTCCCGAAAGAATAGCGTGTAAATTGAATAGCTCCGTGGTAACACTAATCACTGGCTTCATACCACACCATGTCAAAAGGTCCTGAAGTTCTTGCCATTGACAACTATGCCTCATGCACAATTCAACTTCTCCCTTGTTGAATAATAAACTAGTTTTTGTTGATGGTTCAGTCATGCAACTATCAGCTAGCGAGTATCGATTTGTGGATCTGCAATAATAATATGGTCATTACATGGATCCCAAACTTAGTGTCAGAGTAGATCCCTCTGAGTGTAATTTACTCAATCTACCAGAGAATTTTAGTTAGATCCGAAGAGTAACATTTGCATAAGAACCTACCTCAAACTGAAATGAGGTATGAACTGAAGAATCTCCTCATGGCCAACTTTTTGTTAGCTCACACTACAATTGGTATCCAGTTGCATCTACGGTTTATGTGATGGAACGAAGGAACGAAGGAACGAAGGAAAATTACTGTCATATGGTAGTTTGACATGTCTGGTATGAGAAAGTTTGTTGTTTAGCTTTTACTTGCTATTGTTGTTTAGCCCTCAACTCAGACGTTAACGATACAGTTGGACTTAATTAGAGGAAGTTTATATTGACTTGCTTACTTTGGGTTATAATATACCCAACATTGCTGCAAATCAAGAGAGAGATTGGTATATGAACTCCTGTAGCAATCTATGGCCTTAAGTAGACTTCAAAGCAGTGGAGCCCTTTTCTTTCTCGCTAGGTTAGGTTCTGTTGATTCTTTTGAGCTGTCGTTTTGTAACTTGTAAGCCTGCTTTTGTAGGCCCTTCTATATTCTTTCAAATTTTATTCTCAAAAAGCTCGGTTTTTCGACCCAAAAAAAAAAAAAAAGGTTGTCTTAGGTGTTAACTCTTCATGGTTTTACCTTGTCAAAATCGGGTTACAAGGGATCATGCCGATTCTCTTGTTGCATTACTTGTATATATTGATAACGTTGTTCTACAACATGAAGTTTTAACACTTACGAGTCTATCTTAAACCCTTTCCTCACCAAAACTTGATTTCCTTTTGCCATTGTTATCCTTTTCCATCTGCCTGTTGGAGACTTGCACGGTCCATCTCGAGAGGGACTACTAGATTATATTACTAAAGCTATTTTGGTTGTGTCCATAGTCAATACTCGAGTCGTTACATACGTGAAGGCTGTAAATAGCTGTTAAATTAATGAAGCCTTGTTTTACATGTATTCTTTCAAGTTCTTACATGTTATTTATTGTGCAGCATTCTGACTGGCTGGGGAAAACACAGCAAAGTTGTCGGCGACGGAGCTCTAAGACGGGTGATCGAGGCGCTTCTGACTGGAATGGGGGCGCCATTTCGGATAGCGAAATGTAATATAGGTAGGTTTGTATCAACAGGCTCTGTGGTAGCTGCCTGGTTGAAAGAGTCTGGAACCTTAAAATTGCTTGTTCTTCATGATGACAGAATTCATCCAGATAGTGAAAATGTGGATCTAATTTCCAAACTGCAAATGATTTCCTTGTAGCTGAAATTTGTATAATATTATTATTACACATCAGAGATATGAGAAAATATGGCTCAGAGAAGAATTTACTAAATACTGAAACAGTAAACTGGCAAGGCCTCCTAAAATCACTCTTTTAGGGTTAAGACTCTGATGAATATTTGTTTGCCAGATTTGTTTTTGAATTTTTTATTGGATTTTATGTTCCAACGGGTAAAAATTTTGGAAACAACATTTTATGTTGTCATTCTTTTGATTTTGAATTTGAAAATTAAAATGTAGAATTATAATAAAAAGGATAAAATTTTTAATAAATATAGCATTTTATGTTAGAAACTAATTTTATTTTTGTTAAAATTAAAATATGTAAAATATAAAATGTTATAAATTTTGTCTCCTGAGATTAGTCGAAGAGTAAAAATATATTATAAATTACGAATACTTTTGTTAAAATTTAAAAATGTAAAATATAATATATTATAAATTTATAACATTTATATTAATAAATTAATTAATAACATTTTAACTTGCCAATATGAACATAGCTGAACGTAAATTGACACATACTCTTTATCGCAAGTTCAAACTCCCATACGTCCGATATATCTTACTAAAAATATAATAATAAAATAAAATAAACAAAATAACTTTTTCGATTCAGAATCTTCATGTTGATAAGAAAGGTAAAACTTGTATGTAAAGGTATTTCAAATTCTCCAATAAACCCAAAAAGTGAAAAGGAATGAATATAAGAAAAAGAGAGTGAATCTAAAAAGGTGATGCTAATTAAACTTTAAAGGAAGATTCTTGCAACATTTTGAGGAAGAAAACAAACAATCTCGAAAGGAATTGCTTTGGAATATTGAAGCAAATGCCAATTTAGCCCTCTTGATAGAATCTCATCCCCACCTAATATACTGACTTTTTTGAGAGCTGCATAATCCAATTGGTAGAATTTTTTATATTCTATTTCACAAACTTCAAAAAAAAAAAAAATTTAAATACTATTTTGGTCTTTCAACTTTGTTCTATTTTAGAACCTATACTTTTAAAACGTCTATTTTAATCTTTTTACTATCAAAATATTTGTTTTGGTATTGAAATGTAGCCATAATAAATGTGTATTATCTCATTTATTTCAATAACACTTTTAGCATAACACTTCATTCTCTAAACATTTTTGAAATATAGCCATAAATTTAAAAGCTTCCTTCACAATCATACCTTCAAATTTTTACTTGGGATGTGAATTATAATACTTTCAAAAAACAATAGTAAAAGTGTGAGCTTTGCATGAGGCTTCTTGATTAAGACATGTAAAAGCCACTTATAGATTATCCATTAAATACGTAATTTTAGGGATTTGTGGGCCCAATAATAACTTAAAAGAAATTTTGAAAAAGAAAAATTAAAGTAAGACCACCGACCGACACAACTAACTTAACCAACCCCTCATCTAATTTAATTAAGCCTCTTTTATCTCTTTTTGGTCAACAATACAATATTTTTTAATTTAAAAAAAAATTCAATTTCTAACTTTTTAAAAATATTTTTTTTTATTGACATTCACGTTTATGCAGGTGGCATCCATCAGTCCATCCCCTTTATGAACAACCAAAAAATTCTTCCAAACAGGAGGATATTGGTTTATCAACTTTCAGATTTATCTTTTATTTTGGCCCCCTATACTGTACTTTAAAATGTTCGTTTGGTTTCCACGCTTTTAATTTTTTGTTCATTTTAGTCATTTAAAAAGATTTTAGTGACTATTTTAGTCCGCATTTGAAAAACTTTAATACAAATTTTAGGCTACACATTTAAAAAATTTAGTGAGTGAGATGTCATGCTAAAATTTTGATAGAAACAAACGAGATAAAAATAAAAATGAAACAAAAAAATGTCACTTTTAAAAAATATGACATTTCAAAGGTATAAAGACTAAAATAAACACGATAAAAAGACGTGGACGAAAATTAATAAAGCTAAAAAGTTCATGGAAGAAGCTCTCACATTTAAACCATCGGCCTTATTCCAGGTAGCTTTTTGGATTTGAATAAATTCGTGTGTCCACCAAACCAATTTGTTGATTGTTTTCTCATCTTCTGTCGCCATTGACAGGTAGTAAATTTTGGGTTTTGATTGATCAAAGATGATAACATTTTTTTTTCTTTTTACAGTTTCGTGAAGTATAAAAATTTCAACTTAAAAATCCATGGAGCGAAATTTCCTCTTTTTTTCTCTTCCCACTAGAACTTTTCCTCCTTTAATTTGGATAGCTTCTTTGATTCTGCTTTTTGCAACTGTTTGCCGACCACTTTCTTCATTCTCCCCCCTATAAATTTTTTGATGGGCTGCATGGTTTTCCTATAGAACCCACCAAGTTCTAGAGCTTTCTCTGCAAATCTATCTTCTCTAACTTTCTTTGTAAGTTTCTTCTAGCTACTTGAGTGAATATTTTGTTTGAGCTTACCACTTGGCTTGAAATTGTCCATGTATGCTTGTTTAGGTTACCTGATCTTCTATTGAAAGTTTTTGGAAGGTTCAAAAGTTTTGAGTGATTAGAGTTGTAACTTTTTCTTTGTTTATCTTCCTTCCAAGCTCTCCTTTAACCATCTGCCATGGCACCTCCTAATGATTCAGCAAACTTAACCTCTTCAGTTCTGAAATCTGAGAGTTTGGAAAATTTGATTGATTTTTCCAATGGGAAGATCAGTGTCAAAGGTGTTCCTCTACTCTCGGAGGTCCCGAGCAATGTCTTTTTCAGTCCCTTCTCTTCCATATGCCAACCCTCCGATGCTCCACTTCCATTGCTCCAAAGAGTGAATGGACTATCCCATAAGGGAGGATTTCTTGGTTTCGACCAAACGCGGCCTGCTGATAGGCTCACAAATTCTTTGGGAAAATTCAAGGGTAGGGAGTTTGTGAGTGTCTTCAGGTTCAAAACATGGTGGTCCACCATGTGGATTGGGAATTCTGGGTCAGATTTACAAATGGAAACTCAATGGGTCATCTTAAATGTCCCTGAAATAAAGTCATATGTCGTTTTCATACCCATCATAGAAGGCAGTTTCAGGTCTGCCCTTCATCCTGGGACTGACGGGCAGGTTCTGATTTGTGCTGAAAGTGGCTCAACTCATGTGAAAGTATCGAGTTTTGATGCCATCGCCTACGTTCATGTGTCTGATAACCCATACAAGTTAATGAAAGAGGCCTATGCTGCCATTAGAGTCCATTTGAATACTTTTAGACTCTTGGAAGAGAAGCCTGTCACACATTTGGTGGACAAATTCGGTTGGTGCACTTGGGATGCTTTCTACTTAACAGTAGACCCTATTGGAATTTGGAATGGTGTTAATGATTTTGCTGAAGGCGGCATCTCACCGAGGTTTCTCATCATTGACGATGGGTGGCAAAGCATCAATATGGATGATGAAGACCCAAATCGAGATGGTAAAAATCTTATTCTGGGTGGGACTCAAATGACTTCTAGGCTCTACAGATTTGAAGAGTGTGAAAAGTTCAGAAAGTACAAAGGAGGGTCTTTGTTGGGTCCAAATGCTCCATCTTTTGATCCAAAGAAGCCGAAGTTGCTTATCGCGAAGGCGATCGAACTGGAGCATGCTGAGAGAGATAGAGACGAGGCTATTGCATCTGGAGTCAATGATACGTCTAAGTTTGAAATAAAAATTCAGAAGCTAAAGGAAGAAGTGGATGAGATTTTTGGGAAAGAAGATGAAGAAAGTGGTGCGGTAACCAAAGGTTGTTCAAGTTGTTCTTGCAAGGCTGATAACTCCGGAATGAAGGCTTTCACAAGGGACTTGAAGACTAAATTCAAAGGTTTGGATGATATATTTGTTTGGCATGCTCTTGCTGGTGCTTGGGGTGGTGTAAGGCCAGGCGCTACCCATCTGAGTTCCAAGATAGTTCCCTGCAAGCTTTCCCCCGGGCTCGACGGCACGATGACCGATCTTGCTGTCGTGAAGATCGTTGAAGGTAGCATTGGACTTGTTCATCCTAATCAAGCCGATGATTTCTTTGATTCCATGCATTCCTATCTTTCTAAAGTAGGGATTACAGGAGTGAAAGTTGATGTGATGCACGTAAGTTTCTCTAAAACAAAACCTTCAGTTTGCTTTCAGAATTAGTGAAATGAAGAACTAATTTATCAAACCTCTTGTCATATTGTTTGTTCAATTCAGACTCTAGAGTACGTCTCAGAGGAATATGGAGGAAGAGTTGATCTTGCAAAAGCCTATTACAAGGGTCTGACCAACTCTCTTCTCAAGAACTTCAAAGGGACTGGTCTTTTCTCTAGTATGCAACAATGCAATGATTTCTTCTTCCTTGGCACAAAGCAAAACTCCATAGGAAGAGTTGGTAAGAATTTCAACTTTTTCCTCTGTCTCTCTCTTTGTTGTCTTTGGTTCACAAAAGGGTTGGCCAAAATGAAACAAAAGAACAAAAAGGGTAAACATTTGGATTAAAACTTAACTAACTTACGTTTTTGTGGGACAGGTGATGATTTTTGGTTCCAAGATCCAAATGGTGACCCCATGGGTGTTTACTGGTTACAAGGTGTTCATATGATCCACTGTGCATACAACAGCATGTGGATGGGACAGATCATCCAGCCTGATTGGGACATGTTCCAATCAGACCATTTATGTGCCAAGTTCCATGCAGGATCAAGAGCCATTTGTGGGGGTCCTGTGTATGTGAGTGACTCAGTGGGTGGCCATAATTTTGATCTCATAAAGCAGCTTGTGTATCCAGATGGAACTATTCCTAGGTGCCAACATTTTGCCCTCCCCACTAGAGACTGCCTCTTCAAAAATTCTCTATTTGACGGCAAGACTGTTCTCAAGATTTGGAACCTTAACAAGGTACATTACATATATATATATATTTTTATCAGAAATATACCATTGATGAGATGAATAATACAAAAGTGAGGGATACTTCCCTATCAAAGCAAAAAACTCTTCCACTAGATTAAATAGATATTACACTAAAAGTTCTACTTCTAATTCAGCCTTTTTCATCTTTCAATGACTGAAACAAACCAAGTCTTTATATTCTACCAAAACATGACAGTAGTTTCATATTCTTTGGAATCTAATTACAGTATGGAGGAGTAATTGGAGCTTTCAACTGCCAAGGAGCTGGCTGGGACCCTAAAGAGCAAAGGATCAAAGGGCATCCAGAATGCTACAAGCCAACGTCTACCACAGTACATGTCAGTGATGTGGAATGGGACCAGAAACAAGAAGCAGCCCCAATGGGGAATTTCGTCGAATACATTGTGTACCTGAACCAAGCCGAGCAGATTCTCCACACGACCCCAAAATCCGAGCCGCTAAAAGTGACCCTTCAACCATCCACGTTCGAGCTCTTCAGCTTCATACCCCTCCGAAAGCTTGGCTCCAGCATCAAATTCGCCCCCATCGGCCTCACGAACATGTTCAACAGCTCAGGCACAATCCAGCACTTGAAGTACAACGAAAAAGGAGTGGAGCTGAAGGTGAAAGGAGGAGGAAGCTTCTTGGCTTACTCGAATGCATCGCCGAAGAAATGCGTTTCGAACGGAATGGAGGTGGAATTCGAATGGGACTCCGATGGAAAGCTAGGGTTTGATCTTCCATGGAATGGAGAAGCCGGCGGAGTTTCTAATTTGGATATTTTCTTCTGAAAATTTTATTTAAATGTTATTTTAATTTATCATGCTTTTTGTCGTCTTGTGTAAGTGACATGTGCTAGAGCATAGCCATGTCAATTAAAATAAAAGGCTTTTATTATTATTGTATTTTGAACTTTTTTTCTTATTATTATTATTATTATTATTATTATTGAGGATTTGTCCTTTAAAAGAGGGCACTATGTTTTGAATTACGTTTCTACTAAATAAATGTGAGAGTGACTTTTTATTTATGGCTATTTTCATGTGGGTTTAAATTGTATTTCTATCTCATGTTTTAGCTTTTGTCTATTTATTTTTTTTAATCCTTTTGGTCACTGTATTTTTAGTATTTATTCCTTCTAATTTCTACATATTAAAAAACGATTGTTAACATCTATGTTTACGAAACACAAATGTTATAGACAATCCAAATCCTTTAATAGTACAAAACTATACCAATATTTCAAGATATTTGTAACGACGGATGGAAAAATGAGATAAGAAAAATAAACCTAAAATTGTCTTTTAAAAAAATACATGGACAAATATAGATATTTTGAAATTATAAAATTAAAATGAGTTTAAATCAAAAGTGCACATATTAAAATGGAAATTTAACAATATATAGATGAAAATCAATAAAATATGAAATTACAACACCAAAGTAAACGTTTAGTTTTAAAAGTTTAAATTCATGTTTTTAATCATAATTTTAGCCTGACACGTCACTCACTAAATTTATTGAAATACAACGATAAATTTATTATGAAATGATTTATATAAACTTAGGTTAAAAATTTGCACATAGAAATAAAAAATCTCACTCTTTAAAAGTACATGGGATCAAACCTAAGGTTTTGGAAGTATATAAAATAAAATAGGAGGAAATACTTTTCAATAGAGGAATCGGTATTCTAATGAATTAAGTGGTTCCAGCGTAATAAAAATGAAAGAAGAAAGGAAAGGACATCATGATGAAATACTAATCTTAAAAGAGGGGGATACGGCAAAATTTGTAAATGTTACGGACTTAATTGGATTGAATTTTGATATAGAAACCCACTCAGTGATAACTTTCAAATTCAGATGGGAGAAATTTTATCTCACCTATTTTATCTTTTACTTTTCATGTTTTTCTCTGCTACTTTGATCGTAATTTTGTCATTTAACTTCTCTCTCCAATTTCATCGAATTCCATTCATCCTCTCCCTTTCTATTCCCACTGCACCATGATTTTTTTATTTTTTATTTTTTGAATCAAACAGAGTACAACGATAAATCACCATGTTAGAATAGGTAAAGTTCTTTCTTTTTATTTTTATAAATCATTAAAAAAAAGCTATAGTTATTTTTAATTATAATTGATAAGGAAATTTCAAAAGTTTTAATTATTTTTATTTTTTAACAATGTCAGTTAGAATACAGACAGTTAGAATATGTATAATTTTGCCTATTTGGTTTTCTAAAATTATTTCAAAAGAAGTTATAACTTATTTTTAATTATAATTAATAAGGAAATTCAAAAGTTTTGTAACACTGTTTTGCAACTATACAAATAGTTCTTTCTCGCTCTTTTCTCCCAACTTTTTCTTACCAAAACTTAGTCTTTTTTACTCCTTCGGTATGTTTTTTTCCTTCAGTTAATGTTTGACGTCTTCTTATACTTTAGTTAGATTTCAACTTTTAATTTTTATTTCAATGTCATGTTAATAATTGTAATTTCCGAGAAGTATTGATTATGTACCATATATAAATAATTTATTCAAAAAGCCAAACATTACATACTTTTTTCTATGTCATTCTCTTTTTCTATGACTCAAATAAGAAATTAAAATAAAGTTTTATTTCCTTTTATGCATTGTTATTTTTATGAGCAAAAATGGTGAAATGTAAGAATATGCATTAAGTTGTTATTTTTGGAAAAATTTCAAGTAATTGATGCATCTCAATTTTTTTCAGTCACACCATCCAGATCGGTGGGTGATAATAATTTTTGAAACATCGATTTTATGAGATAAACATGTACAATAATAAAAAAAAAATTTGGTGAGGTAACAATGAGAGAGAAAATAGCTAAATTATTAAAATTTTTAACTATTTAATTAACTTTTATGTTTTTAAACTTTAAAATAAACTATGAAATTTTCATGTGTATTACACGTGTTTCTTACTAATATGAATAAAAGTTGAAAGTCCACAATTAAAATGAACGATTTGAAAGTTCAAGGAACAAAATGATCTAAAGCCAAAAAGAACATGAATCCAATAGTTTATATATATATATATATGAGTGTCGAGCTAGTTTACGCGCACTTCAACTAATCTTGCGAGACAACCGTCTTACCCTACTACATTTAGTTGTCGGAAAACACTACAAGAAAAAGGAGTTTCAGAGACGTGCAAAAAATGTCGCTGAAACCCCCAATTTGTCGCTAAAGTTTTCAGCGACTAGAGCCGATTCGTCGTTGAAAACGTCGCAGATAACGCGTCGTATAAAGTTTCGACGACATCTCCAACCCGTCGCTAAAAATTATTTTCAGTGACAATGACTGGTGTCGCTGAAAGAATTTTCAGCAACAGAAGAGAGTCATTGGATGTCCCTAAAAATTGGTCCTTGAACACTTTTCTAGGTGGGTGATCACTATGGAATTTGAATTCTTTTTCTCTAAATTTCTTTTTGGATTTCTTTTGTTCATTTGGAACAATGAACCAATCCAGACTCACCCGAATCAAATAGTATTTAGGTCTAATTTTTAATTCTCTCTCTAGTATGTTTTATAAATTAAGATTTTATTACTTTTATAGAACCTGACATATTTGACTCTGAATTACATTATCTTTGAAATTGAATATTAGAAAAGAGATCTCTCAAAGTTTCAAACCAAATCAAGAATTCCAAGAAAGAGGGAACTGTGGGGAGTAAGACAAATTGAAACCACTCATCTTTCTTTATTTGGCTGTTATCATCAGGAAAAAAAAAGAACGTAAAAAATAAATTTTAATTTGACTAAAATTAAGATCAAGTGGGCCCATCAATTGAAAGAGAAAAAGAAAAAGTCGAAATTTTTGTATAAAATAGACGAAAATCAATGAAATTAATCAGCATCCAACCCAACAAACTAAATCAAGTGGTCTTCAAACATTGACTATTACATTTATAATTTTTTAAAAATAAACCTGACTGACACTAATTAATTAATATTTTGATGATAACAAATTCAATTGATGTTAGAATTATTATTGTAAAATATAAATTTATTATGAACTTCAATCATATTATATGATTTATTGATAAATGACGATTTATTTTTTAAGTATCCATGGCGTAGAGTTTGAGAAGATGTTTAACGACTTTTGAATCACCAAAATTAGAGTTCAAATGAAAAATTATGGTGAAAACAAATTGAAAGAAATAATATACATGACAAATGATCTAGCCAACTATACACCTGATGCTTTATTATTTAAAAGAATTGCTGATATTTAATTTCGTCGGATCATTTTGTTAAAAAGTTTCACTAATTCTGTTCACCCCTGTAGAGTTACTATATTGATTTGGGATTGAACCTCTGACCTTTAGAAAAGGGAAAAGATGCTTAACCGCTCAACTAAATTCATGTTGGCACGGACACCTATTGTTCTAATCAATTAAGCCAACTAGTTTTTAATATAGCTGATCTCAACATTTTATAAAAGCATAGGTAATTAGTCGAATTATGTCGAACCAAAAATATTTGGTAGGGATAAGTTTTGCCAACTACTCATTTGACCATTGTTGGTCAAACAAACATCTCACTCAAAATACCATACTCGTCATGTGTCATATGAGACAGTAGCGGATCTAGAATTTTATGTGATGGAGCATAAATACATATAATTTTGGAGATTTGTATCAATTTGCACCTTATAAATGTTGCAATCTTTAATTTAACTTTAAAAAGTATCGCAAATTTCACTTATTGATAAATTTTTGTTTGAAAATTTTTTTAAAAAATATTTTATGAGTTAAAAAACACATATTTAGCATGAAATTGATATGATTTAAAAAAAAAACAGAGTTAGAATTGAATTTTTTTTTAACTATAGATTTGTAAGGTTTGACATAATTACTTTATAGTGATTTAACATATTAATCAAAATAAATTAAGAAACTTGATTTTTATTAAATTAGCGGTTTTTTTGTGTGTATTTTTTTTTAGTACAACAAATATCGAAATAGATTGAACCTCCCACCTCTAATCTAATAAGGAGCAAGATGTCTTCACTTTTGAACTATATTTATGTTAGCATTTTTTTTATTAAATTAATGAGAATTTAATTTGAATAGAAAATAAAAACTTATGGTCCACATTATAAATGTAATTGGACGTAAAATTTAGTGAGGTTCGAACACTAACAGTTGCGAAGTTCAGGGCGTGAAGAAACAAACGGAGCAAAGAATATTTATTGGGAATTACATACCATTCATAAAATTTAATTCAAATTCCGAGCAAATTACGTACAATTCATAAACTTTATTCAAATTCCAGGAGAACATGCCCTCTCCCCAACACGTAGGGATGATAATTCAAATTTTGGTTCAGTGCCATGAGACCCACTAATAATTCTTCGCGAGGATTTCTTTATAAAATTAGGTTTTGTCACCGTCAACAGGAGTCTTTGGATGCACCTTGAGAGGGAAATACGAAAGACTGAAAAAGAAAGGGAAATGAGCATCAAAAGGCCTTCTCTTCAAAGCTCGGAATCGTGAAGATTGGCTCGGGGACGATCAATCGATACGACCAATTTAGTTTATCTATTTTCTATTGATTTTTCTAGTTTTGTTATGGAACTGTCTTCGGAATTTTTTTTTATTATTATTTTTCTACATTGAATATGAGTAACTAAGTTTCTTTTATCATGTAACCTTTATGAATTGATTGCTTAATTCTCTTGGTTGAATGGTTATAAATGTTCTATTTATGTTTCTCTATGTTTAATACTTTTAATCTACTAGCCATAGATTGATTGATATAATCTTAAAATCTTCCACTCGAGAGAGGTGATTAATAGTTAGAACTAAGACGCATAATTAAAAGAGTTAAGATCGGGAGACTTATATGTCTTCTAGACATCGTTAAAAGACTTAAAACC